CCCTCGCGTGCACCCCTCGCGTGCACCCCTCGCGTGCACCCCTTGCGTGCACCCCTCGCGTGCACCCCTCGCTTGCACCCCTAGCGTGCACCCCTCGCGTGCACCCCTGGCGTGCACCCCTCGCGTGCACCCCTCGCGTGCACCCCTCTGCACCCCTCGCGTGCACCCCTCGCGTGCACCCCTCACGTGCACCCCTCGCGTGCACCCCTGGCGTGCACCCCTCGCGTGCACCCCTCGCGTGCACCCCTCGCGTGCACCCCTCGCGCGTGCACCCCTCTCGTGCACCCCTCGCGTGCACCCCTCTGCACCCCTGGCGTGCACCCCTTGCGTGCACCCCTCGCGTGCACCCCTGGCGTGCACCCCTGGCGTGCACGCCTCGCGTGCACCCCTGGCGTGCACCCCTCGCGTGCACCCCTCGCGTGCACCCCTCGCGTGCACCCCTGGCGTGCACCCCTCGCGTGCACCCCTCGCGTGCACCCCTCGCGTGCACCCCTCGCGTGCACCCCTCGCGTGCACCCCTCGCGTGCACCCCTCGCATGCACCCCTCGCGTGCACCCCTCGCGTGCACCCCTCGAGTGCACCCCTCGCGTGCACCCCTGGCGTGCACCCCTCGCGTGCACCCCTCGCGTGCACCCCTCGCGTGCACCCCTCGCGCGTGCACCCCTCTGCACCCCTTGCGTGCACCCCTCGCGTGCACCCCTCTGCACCCCTCGCGTGCACCCCTCGCGTGCACGCCTCGCATGCACCCCTCGCGTGCACCCCTCGCGTGCACCCCTCGCGTGCACCCCTCGCGTGCACCCCTCGCGTGCACCCCTCGCGTGCACCCCTCGCGTGCACCCCTCGCTTGCACCCCTAGCGTGCACCCCTCGCGTGCACCCCTGGCGTGCACCCCTCGCGTGCACCCCTCGCGTGCACCCCTGGCGTGCACCCCTGGCGTGCACCCCTCGCGTGCACCCCTCGCGTGCACCCCTTGCGTGCACCCCTCGCGTGCACCCTTCGCGTGCACCCCTCGCGTGCACCCCTCGCGTGCACCCCTCGCGTGCACCCCTCGCGTGCACCCCTCGCGCATGCACCCCTTGCGTGCACCCCTCGCGTGCACCCCTCTGCACCCCTCGCGTGCACCCCTCGCGTGCACCCCTCGCGTGCACCCCTCGCGTGCACCCCTCGCGTGCACCCCTTGCGTGCACCCCTCGCGTGCACCCCTCGCATGCACCCCTCGCGTGCACCCCTCGCGTGCACCCCTCGAGTGCACCCCTGGCGTGCACCCCTCGCGTGCACCCCTGGCGTGCACCCCTCGCGTGCACCCCTCGCGTGCACCCCTCGCGTGCACCCCTTGCGTGCACCCCTCGCGCGTGCATCCCTCTCGTGCACCCCTCGCGTGCACCCCTCTGCACCCCTGGCGTGCACCCCTTGCGTGCACCCCTCTGCACCCCTCGCGTGCACCCCTCGCGTGCACGCCTCGCATGCACCCCTCGCGTGCACCCCTCGCGTGCACCCCTCGCGTGCACCCCTCGCGTGCACCCCTCGCGTGCACCCCTCGCGTGCACCCCTCGCTTGCACCCCTAGCGTGCACCCCTCGCGTGCACCCCTGGCGTGCACCCCTCGCGTGCACCCCTGGCGTGCACCCCTCGCGTGCACCCCTCGCGTGCACCCCTCGCATGCACCCCTCGCGTGCACCCCTCGCGTGCACCCCTCGCGTGCACCCCTCGCGTGCACCCCTCGCGCATGCACCCCTTGCGTGCACCCCTCGCGTGCACCCCTCTGCAACCCTCGCGTGCACCCCTCGCGTGCACCCCTCGCGTGCACCCCTCGCGTGCACCCCTCGCGTGCACCCCTCGCGTGCACCCCTCGCGTGCACCCCTCGCGTGCACCCCTCGCGTGCACCCCTCGCGTGCACCCCTCGCGTGCACCCCTCGCGCATGCACCCCTTGCGTGCACCCCTCGCGTGCTCCCCTCTGCACCCCTCGCGTGCACCCCTCGCGTGCACCCCTCGCGTGCACCCCTCGCGTGCACCCCTCGCGTGCACCCCTCGCGTGCACCCCTCGCGTGCACCCCTCGCGTGCACCCCTCGCGTGCACCCCTGGCGTGCACCCCTGGCGTGCACCCCTCGCGTGCACCCCTCGCGTGCACCCCTCGCGTGCACCCCTCGCGTGCACCCCTCGCGTGCACCCCTCTGCACCCCTCGCGTGCACCCCTCGCGTGCACCCCTCGCGTGCACCCCTTGCGTGCACCCCTCGCGTGCACCCCTCGCGTGCACCCCTCTCGTGCACCCCTGGCGTGCACCCCTCGCGTGCACCCCTTGCGTGCACCCCTCGCGTGCACCTCTCGCGTGCACCCCTCGCGTGCACCCCTCGCGTGCACCCCTCGCGTGCACCCCTCGCGTGCACCCCTCGCGTGCACCCCTCGCGTGCACCCCTCGCGTGCACCCCTCGCGTGCACCCCTGGCGTGCACCCCTGGCGTGCACCCCTGGCGTGCACCCCTCGCGTGCACCCCTCGCGTGCACCCCTCTGCACCCCTCACGTGCACCCCTCGCGTGCACCCCTCGCGTGCACCCCTCTGCACCCCTCACGTGCACCCCTCGCGTGCACCCCTCGCGTGCACCCCTCGCGTGCACCCTCGCGTGCACCCCTCGCGTGCACCCCTCGCGTGCACCCCTCGCGTGCACCCCTCGCGTGCACCCCTCTGCACCCCTCGCGTGCACCCCTTGCGTGCACCCCTCGCGTGCACCCCTCGCGTGCACCCCTCGCGTGCACCCCTCTCGTGCACCCCTGGCGTGCACCCCTCGCGTGCACCCCTTGCGTGCACCCCTCGCGTGCACCTCTCGCGTGCACCCCTCGCGTGCACCCCTCGCGTGCACCCCTCGCGTGCACCCCTCGCGTGCACCCCTCGCGTGCACCTCTCGCACCCCTCGCGTGCACCCCTCGCGTGCACCCCTCGCGTGCACCCCTCGCGTGCACCCCTCGCGTGCACCCCTCGCGTGCACCCCTCGCGTGCACCCCTCGCGTGCACCCCTCGCGTGCACCCCTCGCGTGCACCCCTCGCGTGCACCCCTCGCGTGCACCCCTCGCGTGCACCCCTCGCGTGCACCCCTCGCGTGCACCCCTCGCGTGCACCCCTCGCGTGCACCCCTCGCGTGCACCCCTCGCGTGCACCCCTCGCGTGCACCCCTCGCGTGCACCCCTGGCGTGCACCCCTCGCGTGCACCCCTCGCGTGCACCCCTCGCGTGCACCCCTCGCGTGCACCCCTCGCGTGCACCCCTCGCGTGCACCCCTCTGCACCCCTCGCGTGCACCCCTCGCGTGCACCCCTCGCGTGCACCCCTTGCGTGCACCCCTCGCGTGCACCCCTCGCGTGCACCCCTCTCGTGCACCCCTGGCGTGCACCCCTCGCGTGCACCCCTTGCGTGCACCCCTCGCGTGCACCTCTCGCGTGCACCCCTCGCGTGCACCCCTCGCGTGCACCCCTCGCGTGCACCCCTCGCGTGCACCCCTCGCGTGCACCCCTCGCGTGCACCCCTCGCGTGCACCCCTCGCGTGCACCCCTCGCGTGCACCCCTGGCGTGCACCCCTGGCGTGCACCCCTGGCGTGCACCCCTCGCGTGCACCCCTCGCGTGCACCCCTCTGCACCCCTCACGTGCACCCCTCGCGTGCACCCCTCGCGTGCACCCCTCTGCACCCCTCACGTGCACCCCTCGCGTGCACCCCTCGCGTGCACCCCTCGCGTGCACCCTCGCGTGCACCCCTCGCGTGCACCCCTCGCGTGCACCCCTCGCGTGCACCCCTCGCGTGCACCCCTCTGCACCCCTCGCGTGCACCCCTTGCGTGCACCCCTCGCGTGCACCCCTCGCGTGCACCCCTCGCGTGCACCCCTCTCGTGCACCCCTGGCGTGCACCCCTCGCGTGCACCCCTTGCGTGCACCCCTCGCGTGCACCTCTCGCGTGCACCCCTCGCGTGCACCCCTCGCGTGCACCCCTCGCGTGCACCCCTCGCGTGCACCCCTCGCGTGCACCTCTCGCGTGCACCCCTCGCGTGCACCCCTCGCGTGCACCCCTCGCGTGCACCCCTCGCGTGCACCCCTCGCGTGCACCCCTCGCGTGCACCCCTCGCGTGCACCCCTCGCGTGCACCCCTCGCGTGCACCCCTCGCGTGCACCCCTCGCGTGCACCCCTCGCGTGCACCCCTCGCGTGCACCCCTCGCGTGCACCCCTCGCGTGCACCCCTCGCGTGCACCCCTCGCGTGCACCCCTCGCGTGCACCCCTCGCGTGCACCCCTCGCGTGCACCCCTCGCGTGCACCCCTCGCGTGCACCCCTCGCGTGCACCCCTTGCGTGCACCCCTCGCGTGCACCCCTCGCGTGCACCCCTCGCGTGCACCCCTTGCGTGCACCCCTTGCGTGCACCCCTCGCGTGCACCCCTCGCATGCAACCCTCGCATTCTGTCACAGCTGTATCTCCCTCCACCACTATGCACCCATTCGGATCCTCGCTGCACCCATCTGCACACCCCTGTTCCCCCTCTCCCCCAGGCCTCTGTGCGCATGCGCTTCGGTCGCTTGCCACAGATAGGGGACAAGTTCAGCAGCCGGCACAGGCAGAAGGGCGTGCTGTCTCAGCCTGGTTGACTTTTGAGTCGACTCAAAAGTTCAGCAGCAGGCTCGGGCACGAGGGCGTGTTCTCAGCCTGAATCTCCCCACCCCACTAACTGCACCACTCTGTATCCCCTGCTACCCCTTCTCCCCGTCTTCCAGGCATCCGTGCGCATGCGCTTTGGCCGCTTGTCGCAGATAGGGGACAACTTCAGCAGCCGGCACGGGCAGAAGGGAGTGCTGTCACAGCTCTGGCCCGATGTGGACATGCCCTTCGCCTCCTCCTCCTCCCCTGTTAGAATGCCAACCTGCCACCCACCCTAGATCCCCCTCCCCATCACCTCCGTTGTACCCATCTGCACCCATCTGTACCCCCCGATTCCCCCCGATTCCCCTATTTCCTTTCCCCGCAGGCATCTGTTCGCATGCGTTTCGGTCGCTTGCCGCAGATAGGGGACAAGTTCAGCAGCAGGCACGGGCAGAAGGGAGTGCTGTCACAGCTCTGGCCCGACGTGGATATGCCCTTCGCCTCCTCCTCTGGCATGCGTCCAGACATCATCATCAACCCCCATGCCTTCCCCTCCCGCATGACCATCGGCATGCTGGTTGAATCCGTTGCAGCCAAGGTGAGTCCAGATGTGCTGAGTGAGTGGGTCGTGTTTAGAGCTACCATGCCCCCCCTACCTCCTCCTCTGGCATGCGTCCAGACATCATCATCAACCCCCACGCCTTCCCCTCCCGCATGACCATCGGCATGCTTGTCGAGTCCGTGGCTGCAAAGGTGAGATATGACGTGTGCGCACTGATACCTGTCCTGGGTTAACTCGCCTCCAAAGTTTCCTTTCCACTCCAGTCATATCATCCCCAACCCCGCTCACCACCCCTTTTGCTCCCCTCTCACTATGAGCCTCTGATGCTGTTGCCTCTGTTGCTTCGTTCCAACACCCCTTCATGCCCGTGCTGCTATGAGTGTGTTTCTGCCATGAGTCGATGTGATGTGAGTGTGTACCTTCCCTCACATCCTCCCCTCTCCCGCCCCCACCGTACAGAGTGGATCGCTACACGGAAACTTCGTGGATGCTTCCCCGTTCCGCCCTGCCACGGTCAACCCCCCGCCGCTCACCATGAGCCTCAAGTCCCGCCAACCAGCCCAGCGACGTGGCGCCTCCCGATTGGCCCGTCCCTCCGCTGCTACCCCAGGCCTCTCCACCCCTGTGCACCGCTCTAAACTGCACAAGAAATCTGGTGCCCCCCCCACCCCGGCTACTCCTGTCACTCCTGCTGCTGCTGCTGGTGCTGAGAAAGGGGCTGGAAGCTTCACACCCTTGGATCTCCCAACCCCTGCTTCATCTGCCAAGCCTAGCCAGGCTGCCAAGCCTGCCGCAGGTCCGGCGACAGCAGGTGGGCCGGGTGAATCAAATCCGCCACAAAATAACGGAGATCTGGTAGACACATTCGGGCGGCAACTTGTGGAAAAGGGATTCAGCTATTATGGAACAGAGACCATGTATAGCGGCGTGTACGGGTGTGAGATGGAGTGTGAAATTTACCTCGGAGTGGTGTATTATCAGCGGCTGCGGCACATGGTATCAGATAAATTCCAGGTGCGGTCTACCGGGCCTGTCAACCCACTCACGCAGCAGCCGGTGAAGGGGAGGAAGAAGGGCGGTGGAGTGCGGTTCGGGGAGATGGAGCGCGATGCAATGCTGTCCCATGGTGCGGCGTATCTCTTACACGACCGGTTACACTCGTGCTCCGACTACCACACCACTGAAGTCTGCTCCCTCTGCGGCTCCCTTCTAGCTCCGGCGCTGGCTCGTCCCCGAGGCGGGTCGGCAGGTTCGGATGCAGCTGTGGCGCTAGGCCTGGGGTTGGGGGCTGGCGTGGGGTATGGGACGGTGGGGGGGGAGCTACGACAGAAGAAGATGGTGTGTCGTGTGTGTGGCACGGGGAAGGGCGTGGTGCGCGTGGCGATGCCGTATGTGTTCAAGTATCTCGCTGCTGAGCTGGCAGCAATGAACATCAAGCTCACACTGGGTGTGTGAATCTGACATGCACGGCATGGCTTGTTAGGCTGCTGTAGGGTCTGTATGAGGCGTATGCATGGATATACACATCATAGAGCTTGCTGCGATGAACATCAAGCTCACTCTGGGCAGGTGAATCATATCGTGGCATGGCTGCTGGCTTTTGTGGTGCGTCACATAGGGGTGGGTGCATTAGTAGTATCATGAGGGGTGGTGTGAGTGCCATTGACATTGCCCTCCTACTGCACTAGTGCAAACTTTACTGCATTGAAGTATTGTGCCAAGTCTGAGAAGTGGTTTGTCCAATTATACCGTATATTGTAGGATGCTGGTAAAATGTGGGCACTGAGTATGATTGCGAGGAGTACCTTCCTGCAAGGTGACATGACATGCCATGACATCTTGCAGAACCAGGAATGTTTGGGATGCTCTCACTGCAAAGGTGATCTCACGCTTTTTAAAGCTGAAGGCTCAAATTGCGGGCCGCGCAGGGCAAGATTAGTAATCTTGCACGCTTCTCGTTTTCTGTGCTGGTGTGTGGCGAAAATTTGGTTACAATAGGTGCGTTGCAATCTGATTGGTCGAAGCCAGACTCACTCCCAAAGCATCGAGTTTTACTATGCAATTTGGGACTCGAGGTCCCCAAACCCACGTTTCCCCCTGAAGTTCGCTGACTCAGCGAAAAAACCAAGTGTTACGGGCGAAATCAGACAGGTCACCTTCCCAACACTCCCCTCGACTCTACCCACCCCTCAGCACTCAAACTTACGCAAGATTAGTAATCTTGCGCAATTTGGGCCTTGAGCTTTAAGAGAGCTTTTTATATAGCTCACGATTTTGTTGTTAAAGATTCTTGCTGCGTTCATGACTTCAATGAGTTACTATTGTCATGCACGCATGTGGCAGAGATCGATGGATGGGAAGGAAGGATTGATTTGAACTGTCCTGAAAAGAAGTAACCATGGCAAGCAAGGTCAAAACCTTATTTATGGAGCACAAGAATACAGGCAGAAACAATAAACCTGCCTGAATGATGATACCGATACAGATTTTATTGTTACAAAGGAGTTTCACCCCAAGAATGCATTGTGTAGACCTTGTATTTGCAAAAACATTTGATGTTCTCTGTTGGGGATTTTATACCCACAAAATATCAGTGTAGCTTCTTCATTGGGAGGAGCAACGGCGTCGCTCGAAAGGGCAGGAAGAACCGGATCGCCGCAAAACGAGAACGCGAGAGTGGTCGAGCCGACCCGCCCGCAACCGCTGCTGCTGCTGCTGCTGCTGCTGCTACCGTTGCTGCGGGTCGCGCTAACGGCGTTGGTGGTGGTGGCGCTGCTGCTTCCACTGCTGCTGGTGATGACGCTGCTGTGCGTTGAGCTCGGGGCAGGCAGTTGGCTTGCTGATAGCTGCAGGGATGCAGAGGGAGCTTGCGATGAAGTTACTAACAGCTGGGCCGCTGATAGTACTAGGTGTTGGGATGCAGCGGCGGATTGGGATAATGAAGAAAACGGTTGGCACGCTGTCACAGTGACCGCAGCGGGTGTATCGTCGTCCAGGCAGAGCGGCGACGCGAGTGGAAGGGATGGGAGTGACGGCAGGTGCATCGGCGAGGTGAATGGATTCGCGCTCACAGCGGAGGGTAGAGGGGAGAGCACGGAGCGGGGAAGAGCGCGCGCGCATGGCAGCGCGCTGCACGGCTCGAGCGACAAAGGAGGGAGCGCGCTCAAAGGCGGGAGGTGACGAGAGGACGTAGGAGTGGAGAGCGGTGTGGGGAGAGGCGAAGAGAAACAGGACTCGGGCGCAATGCCGTCCGCGCGAGCAACGTCGTCGTCCGCGCAGCCATTGCAGTCCCCGTAAGCAATGCCGTCCGCGCACGCAATGCCGTCCGCGCAACGGTTCGGAGCCGCGGAACTGGCATCCACCTCGCTACAAGGCGGCTCGTTCATGTCAAAGTCCGGTCTCCGAGGAGCGCCAGCACCAGCGCCAGCGCCATCGCGAGCACGGGAATTGTCAAAGTCCGCAGGAGTATTGGGCGCCTCGGCATTGAAGCCACTGGCATTACCGTCAACGTCAGGGACAGCGTCAACGTCAACGTCAGCGTCAGCGGGAGCATGACTGTGTGGAGCCGACGCGTGCAGGGGCCGCGGACGAATGTTCCGATCATCTTCCGCCAGGAACGGCCGGAAGCGCTTGTACTTAATCTTGCCGAGGCGCATGTGCGCCGCGGAGTTGGGATCCGTCAAGAGCCCCGACAGCGTCTCCTTGACCGCGCCGATCTTGCGCTTCCGCTGGTGGTTCGTGTGCGCCTGCTGCGCCGTGAGCGCGGGCTTGCTGGTGCTCGCCGCCCCCGGGCGGTTGACGGCCCCCTCGAGCGCGCACAACATGTGATCGAGCTTGCGGATCTGATAGGGGAAAGGCGCGAGCGGGGAGGGGGGAGGAGAGAGGAGAGAGGAGAGAAAAAGAAAGGACCAAGTCAGCGAAGGGCAAAGCATAGATCTGAATACGTTTTGTTTGAATGCAGGAGAGATTCGTGGAATAAAAACCGCACTGCCGCTCGTCACGCCGTACCTTGCGGAACGGCCATCGGGCGATGCCATGCTCGCGACACTGCTGCTTCAGCACCGTCACACACACGCCGAGCTGCACACGAGAATGGGGCGGGGAAGAGGGGAGCGACGAGGATGAGTGGAAGGCGGGTTGCGAAAGGAGCGCGGAAGCGGGCGCGCGGAGAAGAGCGACAAGGGAGCGCGCAAGCGGCGGCCACATTGAGCCAACGCGGGGCGTTTATTGATCTAGCGGGTCAAGAAAAGCAAAAGGTCAAGTACCTTTCGGGCAGCTTCGCTGATGGGCAGGTGAAAGCTTTCCTTGAGCTCTTGGAGTGTGATTGGTCGCATGCGATGGTTCGCCGGAGTGACCGTTGGAGTCACCGCCAGCGGACTCCGTGGCGGCACCGCGCCGCAATGTACTTTCACTAGAGGGTTCTGAGAGGTGTTTAAACACGGCGCCACGCGTTTCGGCGTTGCGGGAGAATTCTGCGGCGCTTCTGAGCGTGACTTGGCACGCCGGCTGGGCGGCGTCACGGCGGACCAACCGACAGAAGCGTCGGGCTGACTCAGCGCCTGCTGACTCGATCCAGCGGGACCAGAATAAGCGCTGCGATCTGGGGGACCCGAAGTCTCCATTACCGCGGCGGAAGCGCGCGTGGCGCGCTCCGCGAAGCCAATGGCGGTATCGGCGGCGGGCCCGAGGCGGAGGAGAAGCTCCGAAGCGAAGGCGGCGATGGGCTGACACATGACGCTAGAGGGACGCGAATTCGAATCCAGTTGAGTGTTTCACAACAAACTTTCGCCGCATTCACACGCGTCTCTGTCGATGAGTCCCGACAGGAAAAGGCTGTTTTGAGGTAAAGTTTCCCGTCCAGTATTCGAGGCAAAAGAGGCTGTTTTCGACTCTGAGTGCGTTCGAGAATCCTCACGTGATTTCACAAAGAGAGAGCCAGGGCACTGCCCCAGGATTCGTATGTCACCTGAGTGATCACGAATCACGCACAATGATCGACGCTTTGAGCCTGCGGAAATGGGAGTAAACGACGGGCTTGTCTTGTAGGAGTGAGAGGGCTTGATGGCTCGTCTCATCGGACATGTCCCTTCTTTTCTGGTCGGAAGACCCGTAAGGCCTGGCGGTGACAGGGTGGCTGTCAAGGTGGCGTTCGCAACCCGCGGGGAGGCTTTGCGTGTGCAGTAGCGTAGTCGCCCAGGCTTTGTTACAGTATCCTGCATACGGGTTTACGGAGCAGAAGTGAAATGCAATCATAGCGGTCCGGATGAGATTCGGAGAGGGGACGGGAATTTCCTGCGCGCGGTCGGAAAGGAAACTTGCGCCCCCTTCCGCTGTACAGTACACCCTCTTTCTCAACCTTTTCACCAAGCGCGACTCGTTGCTACTGTACTTGTCTTTTGCGGTCAGGTGCCATAAAACGTTCCTAGCAACCTGGGGGGAAAAGCCGAACCACGTGACAAACTGGCTCAAGGGCGTAAAATTTCCGTTATCGCTGTATAACCCACCCAACCAAATGAAAACGCTGAAAAGGCTTATTGTAACGTGCATAACCTCAACTAACCGCATTCTTCGCATTGTGCTTGTACAGTTGGGTGACAAGACCGTTCTGAACGTGGTGACGTTCTACAACCTGTGTATGTTCTGCAACCAGATGCTCTACTAGCGCGAAAGAGGGTGTACACGTAAGTGCAATGTGGAGCCGGCTTCCGCAAGATATTTATTTTCCGCGTGCACAGCAGCTCAACCTGATGCTGATGTCATGTGCTCTCTTTGGGTGGACCATTTTTTGCAAGCGAGGATTCGGGGGTCCTGGGGGGCGGTGTCGCGGGGGGCCTGGCTGGCTTGGTGTCAATTTGTGGGTGTGTGCACACGGGCAGCATTGACAGGAGAAGGGCATAAATGTCATAAATGAAGAAAAGCGTGTGCGCGGAACTAGGAGATTGGTGCGTGGGAAAAAGCGTCGGTTGATATTTTACCACGTCAGCTTACCAAGCCGCTGATGAAGTAGACCGCAGCAGCTCACCAGGTACGGGAACACGTGAGAGGATGGCGAAGAGATCGGGGTTCGAACGCAGGATTGGCTGTTTGCATGCCCCCCCAATAACGCCCGCCACATCCCACTTCCACCAAGGCAGCACGTCGCTTGGGGCGACATGAGGTGTAGGTCAGATCGAAAGAATGAAGACTACATTTATCATACCCACTTTATTGAGTAACAAGCTGATTATTTTCCAGCATCCACCCGGGACCTGATTTCAGTGGAGACTTATTTGTAACCATCTCCCACTCCCCAACTCTTCCTGAAAAAATCCACCCCCTGCCTGCATCCTCAGCTGTTCCCAGTCCGTTGAAGGTTTATCAAAAAGTATCCCGAGACCCGATAAATTTGTCAGCCATAACTACTTGTCATATGACATGCTCAGAAACTAGGCCCCCTTGTATTCGGGTTTTCTTTCTCAAAAGCTAGTCAGTGGTCACCCTAGCTCCCAATGCAAACTTCCCTTCTGCACCAGGTACAGTCTGAAAGTTTCAGCAGGTTCCTCGTCATTGCGAGTCACGACACAAAGACGAACTCATCCATACTTGTATCCAGTGTTCGTGTGGAGCATGTCTGCGTTGTCTACAATTTTGGGCGCGAAACGACATCAAGGCAACAGATAGTTTCCGGAATCCTTCACCTGCCCAGCCCATGTGACAGGACTCACACCAACCAATTGAGTGAGAAAAAGCAGACGCCAGCACAGCAAGTGAAAGCCCCAAAAGGCACTGCATGAGGTGTCCGAAGAAATATCCAGTGACCTTTCTTATCGATGCCCAGCTGGCAGCAGTTTTACTGCCCCTTCTTTCTAGAATGTCAGCGAATGTTCGAGAAGGTTGTGCATGCATGTCGCTTGTAATTTTGGAGCTTTTGAAGGGAGTGCACAAGAATCCTTCCAGGTGCTTTGGAAATATCCTGATTCTGACCAGAAACCTCATCGTTCCGTGACAAATTTTACTGGCTTCACGAATCTGGGAACGACCATCGATTGGTTCAGCAATGGGTGGACAGGAGATGGGGCGTAAGGTTTCGGGTCAAGGAACAGTGTTCAAAATGGAGACCTTATCCTCCAGCAGTGCAAGGAGAGGCTGCAAGGCGTAATGCTGATTTGGCACAACTTGATTAGAGCATGTGATGCCCCCTTAGGAGGCGTGTGGAGCCAGATACGAAATGATTCTGTTTTTTATTGGCTGAAATCACACGTATCTGACTGAAACTCTGGACTGCACACCTCGTAGCAACAAATCGCTACATCAGAATTTAGAAACATCAAATAAAGGAGAGAAAAAATCTACTTGTAAAATGGATCAAGCACTATGCCCTCTACATACTCAAACCATAATGAAAACAGCAAGCAATCCGTGCACATGTATGCATTCCCCAATGGGTTTGCCAGACCAATGTGTTGTGTATACGAAGCAAAGAAACAAAAGAAAAGGGTTTGAATTCAGAAAGAACTTTTAGTTCACCACTTGTGTGCCACCTGAAACAGCCTCCGAGGCTCCGACATCCCACAACGGATCACAAGAGACTTCTACTTAAAAACTCGTAAATCCTCTCCTCCATATATGTCCGGTCACGGAGGCCCCTCGGCATGTGCCTCTCCTCGGGAAAAAGCAGCAGCTCATACTGCTTGGCAGCTGTAGTGAGTGCCTGCACCAGCCGCACTGAGTGCCTGAAATGCACGTTCTCATCTATCATCCCATGCACCAGCAGCAGCTTCCCCCGAATTCCACCCACATGCCGCATAACAGAGCTCCGGTCATATGCTGTCGGCTGTTCCGCAGGCAGACCCATGTAACGCTCCGTGTAGTGCGTGTCGTAACCGTCCCATGCGGTTACCGGAGCTCCGGAAATGGCGCAGCGAAACAGGCTCGGGTACCGAGCCAGGCACATGGCTGAGAGGTACCCCCCGTAGCTCCACCCGTAGATCCCGATCCGGTTTGGGTCGGCGAGGCCCTGCTGGATAAGCCAACGGACGCCGGCCGCTTGGTCGTCAGCATCTATGCCGCCCATGTTGCACTTGATGGCTCCTTCAAAGGCCAGGCCGCGACGACTGCTACCCCGGTTGTCAAGCTGGCGAGAGGATGAAGGTCAGGTTGGAGGATGAGATGCAAGAGGGAGGAATTGAGGTGGGATGCAAGGGGAAGACGGAGGCATGCAGATATGGAAGTTGGACTACCATGGAGGTTGAATGCAAGGACTCATGAGACGACCCTGGCTATGTTTTTTCTCTGTTAATGTGCCTGTGTGAGTGTTACTCTGTCCCTTAAGAACTCTGTGCCTTATGCTCACCTTCCACACCAGCATGCCTCGAGCGCGCAGGAACTGGGCTCGCATGTCCACCGTGTAGAGCCACGACTAGAACACTGCGTCTCTGACCCTACTGCGTCTGTCTGCCTGATGCCCTACCTGTGCTGTGTCAAGTGTTGCTCCCATGATGCTCACCTTCCACACCAGCATGCCTCGAGCGCGCAGGAACTGGGCTCGCATGTCCACCGTGTAGAGCCACGACTAGAACACTGCGTCTCTGACCCTACTGCGTCTGTCTGCCTGATGCCCTACCTGTGCTGTGTCAAGTGTTGCTCCCATGATGCTCACCTTCCACACCAGCATGCCTCGAGCGCGCAGGAACTGGGCTCGCATGTCCACAGTAGACAGCCACGACTCGCACACTGTCTGCACGTGTGGGCCCCCGTACACGCTCACCACCGTGCGGTATGGGGGCGGGCCAAATATGGCCGGGTCAGGGCTGCAAGGGGAGAGAGAGAGGGTGGGGATTGGGAGAGATAGAGGGGTGAGAGAAACGGTGGGAGAATAGGACATGAGGTGACATCCACACTTTCTGCACATGCGGGCCCCCGTACAAGTCACCACCGTGCTATAGGGTAGTGGGTCAAATATGGCCGGGTCAGGACTGGAAGGAAGTGGGGAGGAGTTGGGAAAAACGAGGGATAAGGTGTTGGACACACACACGGTATGATCCTGCAATTTCCCCGTACACGCTCACAGAGGGGAGGTGGAAGAGGGCACACATGAGGCAGCAAGAGCGAGGAAAAGCAGGCAGCACACCCACCGGTAGTTTGCCCTGTGCGGAGTGTTGCCATCAACAGCAGCGACCTGTACCACCTCGGGTGGAGGCAGGCAGTGGCAGGCAGCTCTCACCGTAACCCACCTATACCCAGCGAGCAAGCACCAGACAGAACACTCACCGGTAAATCGCCCCGTGCAGTGTGGTCCCATCAGCAGCAGTGACTTCTACTAACTCAGGCGGCCGGAGCTGGAGCCGCTGCACGCGGGGGTTGGGCGAGTGCTGCTGGAAGATCACCGCTAGCACTCGCCCCGAGGGAGGGGAGCCCAGAGCCCACACTCACCGGTAAATCGCCCCGTGCAGTATGGTGCCATCAGCAGCAGTGACTTCCACGAGCTCGGGAGGCCTGAGTTGGAGGCGTTGCACGCGGGGTTGGGCAAGTGCTGCTGGAAGATCACCGCTAGCACTCGCCCCAAGGGACGGGTGCCCAGTGCCTGTACTCGCCCCAAGGAATGTCCGGTGACGGTACTCACCGGTAAATAGCCCCGTGCAGGGTGGTGCCATCAGCAACAGTGACCTCCACGAGTTCGGGAGGCCGCAGCTGCATGCGCTGCACGCGGGGGTTGGGCGAGTGCTGCTGGAATATCACCGCCAGCACTCGCCCCGACGCCAGGCAGCAGAGGCGCACGGCGGGCGGCGAGTCAAGCGAGTCAACGAGGTCAACAAAGCGCTGCAGGCTGTGGTCGAGAACGACCAGGTGCCGCCCGGGACCCTGGGTGAGCCGGATGGGTCGGGCGGGCGGCAGAGAGGAGGAAAGGCTGGTAGGTGCGAGGGAAGACGGGGGTGGGTGGAGTGGTGTTGCTGCTGCAGGTGCTGCTGATGCTGCTGCTGGTGGTGGTGATAGGTTGGAGACAGGTAGACCTGGTGAAGCTACTCCTGCTGCTGCTGCTGCTGCTGGGGATGATGATGCTGGTTGCACCGAATCTAACACCATCGGCACCACCTGTTGCTGCTGCTGCTGCTGCTGCTGCTGCTCATAACGAAAAAACGCATCCCGCTTCTCCGAACCCAACGCAGACACCAAACCAGCACCCGCTCCCCCCCCCTCCACGCCCCCAAACAGCCTTGTCACATACAAATGACTCTCCAGCGCGCTATCCATGGTCCCAGTGAAATACACCAACCCAGCACCCTCATCCAACCCTGCCACCTGCTCCACCATCCACTCCCCCGCCGTCACCGCCCCCACGCACCGCCCCGACCCCGCATACAAGTACAAGTGCCGGAACCCCGTCCGCTCACTCGCCCACAGAAACCCCCCACGAAGCTCCCCCCCGGATTTCACCAGGGGGGTGAAGCAGTCGTGCAGGTTCACCCAGAGGGGGTTGGATTCCGTGAGAACGAGGTCCCTGCTGCCTGTGGTGGGGTCGAAGCGCAGCAGCTTGAGGCGTGTTTGACGGCGGTTCTGCACCTGCGCGGACAGGCGCCCGTCTGGGAGCCATGACACGCGCGCTAGGTACTCCTCATCGTCATCATCGTCTGCGGAATCAGCAGCAGCAGCTGTAGCGGCTGTGGCAGCTGTGCCATTCCCATTGCCATTGCCATCATTGCCAGTGGTACTAACCCCACCTGCTGCCTTCTCCGGCAGTGCTAATTCCAGTGCGTCCCTCCCAGGTACGCACGAGGCTAGAGACCCTGCATCACCCCCATGTGTGCTACCTGCTGCTACTCCCTGGTGCAACACCCCTCTGTTTCCTGCATCCTCTTTTGCTGCTACTCCTCCTCCCATCCCTTCACCATCACCATTCCCATCGCCACTGCCATTGCCAGCACCGGCACCAGCGTTTCTACCTTCTCTGCTGCTGCTGTTGCTTCTGCTGCTGCTTTTCGTTTTATCGAAGCTGCTGCCTGCCAAGCCGCAATACAGGTCCATCCATCGGACCTCGCCGCCAGCCACGGGAACGACCCCAAGCCTCACGCTCACGTTCGCCTGGCCTGGAAAGGGGGGGACAGAAGGGACGAGGACGCTTAGCAGGCGCAGAGGAAGAAAGCAGCTGAACACGGGGATTTAATACCAGCCTCTTGCTTCAATAATCCCTTGTGTGGCCCAACCTATGCCTGCGAACCAAATCTGGAACTCCAAACCAGCACCCAACCCGTACCTGCATAGGAGTACGCGTGTTCCTCCTCAGAATCCGCCCACATAGGCGGGCACATGCAGTAGGTGGATGCGGAAGAGCCTAGCTTATCACTGAAGCGGCTAAAAGAGCTACTCAGTGTGAACTACCTGCGAAGGGGTATGCATGCTCCTCATCCGAGTCCGCCCCCACGGGCGGGCGAGTGCAGTGGGGGATGCGGAAGAGCGTAGCCTATCTCTATAGCGCTTCAAAGAGCTACTCAGTATGAAATGAAGTACCTGCAAAGGGGTAGGCATGCTCCTCCTCGGAGTCCGCCCCAACAGGCGGGCGAGTGCAGTGGGGGATGCGGAAGAGCGTAGCCTATCTCTATAGCGCTTCAAAGAGCTACTCAGTATGAAATGAAGTACCTGCAAAGGGGTAGGCATGCTCCTCCTCGGAGTCCGCCCCAACAGGCGGGCGAGTGCAGTGGGGGATGCGGAAGAGCGTAGCCTATCTCTATAGCGCTTCAAAGAGCTACTCAGTATGAAATGAAGTACCTGCAAAGGGGTAGGCATGCTCCTCCTCGGAGTCCGCCCCAACAGGCGGGCGAGTGCAGTGGGGGATGCGGAAGAGCGTAGCCTATCTCTATAGCGCTTCAAAGAGCTACTCAGTATGAAATGAAGTACCTGCAAAGGGGTAGGCATGCTCCTCCTCGGAGTCCGCCCCAACAGGCGGGCGAGTGCAGTGGGGGATGCGGAAGAGCGTAGCCTATCTCTATAGCGCTTCAAAGAGCTACTCAGTATGAAATGAAGTACCTGCAAAGGGGTAGGCATGCTCCTCCTCGGAGTCCGCCCCAACAGGCGGGCGAGTGCAGTGGGGGATGCGGAAGAGCGTAGCCTATCTCTATAGCGCTTCAAAGAGCTACTCAGTATGAAATGAAGTACCTGCAAAGGGGTAGGCATGCTCCTCCTCGGAGTCCGCCCCAACAGGCGGGCGAGTGCAGTGGGGGATGCGGAAGAGCGTAGCCTATCTCTATAGCGCTTCAAAGAGCTACTCAGTATGAAATGAAGTACCTGCAAAGGGGTAGGCATGCTCCTCCTCGGAGTCCGCCCCAACAGGCGGGCGAGTGCAGTGGGGGATGCGGAAGAGCGTAGCCTATCTCTATAGCGCTTCAAAGAGCTACTCAGTATGAAATGAAGTACCTGCAAAGGGGTAGGCATGCTCCTCCTCGGAGTCCGCCCCAACAGGCGGGCGAGTGGAGTGGGGGATGCGGAAGAGCGTAGCCTATCTCTATAGCGCTTCAAAGAGCTACTCAGTATGAAATGAAGTACCTGCAAAGGGGTAGGCATGCTCCTCCTCGGAGTCCGCCCCAGCAGGCGGGCGAGTGCAGTGGTGGATGCGGAAGAGCGTAGCCTATCTCTATAGCGCTTCAAAGAGCTACTCAGTATGAAATGAAGTACCTGCAAAGGGGTAGGCATGCTCCTCCTCGGAGTCCGCCCCAACAGGCGGGCGAGTGCAGTGGGGGATGCGGAAGAGCGTAGCCTATCTCTATAGCGCTTCAAAGAGCTACTCAGTATGAAATGAAGTACCTGCAAAGGGGTAGGCATGCTCCTCCTCGGAGTCCGCCCCAACAGGCGGGCGAGTGCAGTGGGGGATGCGGAAGAGCGTAGCCTATCTCTATAGCGCTTCAAAGAGCTACTCAGTATGAAATGAAGTACCTGCAAAGGGGTAGGCATGCTCCTCCTCGGAGTCCGCCCCAACAGGCGGGCGAGTGGAGTGGGGGATGCGGAAGAGCGTAGCCTATCTCTATAGCGCTTCAAAGAGCTACTCATTATGAAATGAAGTACCTGCAAAGGGGTAGGCATGCTCCTCCTCGGAGTCCGCCCCAACAGGCGGGCGAGTGCAGTGGGGGATGCGGAAGAGCGTAGCCTATCTCTATAGCGCTTCAAAGAGCTACTCAGTATGAAATGAAGTACCTGCAAAGGGGTAGGCATGCTCCTCCTCGGAGTCCGCCCCCACGGGCGGGCGAGTGCAGTGGGGGATGCGGAAGAGCGTAGCCTATCTCTATAGCGCTTCAAAGAGCTACTCAGTATGAAATGAAGTACCTGCAAAGGGGTAGGCATGCTCCTCCTCGGAGTCCGCCCCAACAGGCGGGCGAGTGCAGTGGGGGATGCGGAAGAGCGTAGCCTATCTCTATAGCGCTTCAAAGAGCTACTCAGTATGAAATGAAGTACCTGCAAAGGGGTAGGCATGCTCCTCCTCGGAGTCCGCCCCAACAGGCGGGCGAGTGCAGTGGGGGATGCGGAAGAGCGTAGCCTATCTCTATAGCGCTTCAAAGAGCTACTCAGTATGAAATGAAGTACCTGCAAAGGGGTAGGCATGCTCCTCCTCGGAGTCCGCCCCAACAGGCGGGCGAGTGCAGTGGGGGATGCGGAAGAGCGTAGCCTATCTCTATAGCGCTTCAAAGAGCTACTCAGTATGAAATGAAGTACCTGCAAAGGGGTAGGCATGCTCCTCCTCGGAGTCCGCCCCAACAGGCGGGCGAGTGCAGTGGTGGATGCGGAAGAGCGTAGCCTATCTCTATAGCGCTTCAAAGAGCTACTCAGTATGAAATGAAGTACCTGCAAAGGGGTAGGCATGCTCCTCCTCGGAGTCCGCCCCAACAGGCGGGCGAGTGCAGTGGGGGATGCGGAAGAGCGTAGCCTATCTCTATAGCGCTTCAAAGAGCTACTCAGTATGAAATGAAGTACCTGCAAAGGGGTAGGCATGCTCCTCCTCGGAGTCCGCCCCAACAGGCGGGCGAGTGCAGTGGGGGATGCGGAAGAGCGTAGCCTATCTCTATAGCGCTTCAAAGAGCTACTCAGTATGAAATGAAGTACCTGCAAAGGGGTAGGCATGCTCCTCCTCGGAGTCCGCCCCAACAGGCGGGCGAGTGGAGTGGGGGATGCGGAAGAGCGTAGCCTATCTCTATAGCGCTTCAAAGAGCTACTCAGTATGAAATGAAGTACCTGCAAAGGGGTAGGCATGCTCCTCCTCGGAGTCCGCCCCAACAGGCGGGCGAGTGCAGTGGGGGATGCGGAAGAGCGTAGCCTATCTCTATAACGCTTCAAAGAGCTACTCAGTATGAAATGAAGTACCTGCAAAGGGGTAGGCATGCTCCTCCTCGGAGTCCGCCCCAACAGGCGGGCGAGTGCAGTGGGGGATGCGGAAGAGCGTAGCCTATCTCTATAGCGCTTCAAAGAGCTACTCAGTATGAAATGAAGTACCTGCAAAGGGGTAGGCATGCTCCTCCTCGGAGTCCGCCCCAACAGGCGGGCGAGTGCAGTGGGGGATGCGGAAGAGCGTAGCCTATCTCTATAGCGCTTCAAAGAGCTACTCAGTATGAAATGAAGTACCTGCAAAGGGGTAGGCATGCTCCTCCTCGGAGTCCGCCCCAACAGGCGGGCGAGTGCAGTGGGGGATGCGGAAGAGCGTAGCCTATCTCTATAGCGCTTCAAAGAGCTACTCAGTATGAAATGAAGTACCTGCAAAGGGGTAGGCATGCTCCTCCTCGGAGTCCGCCCCAACAGGCGGGCGAGTGCAGTGGGGGATGCGGAAGAGCGTAGCCTATCTCTATAGCGCTTCAAAGAGCTACTCAGTATGAAATGAAGTACCTGCAAAGGGGTAGGCATGCTCCTCCTCGGAGTCCGCCCCAACAGGCGGGCGAGTGCAGTGGGGGATGCGGAAGAGCGTAGCCTATCTCTATAGCGCTTCAAAGAGCTACTCAGTATGAAATGAAGTACCTGCAAAGGGGTAGGCATGCTCCTCCTCGGAGTCCGCCCCAACAGGCGGGCGAGTGCAGTGGTGGATGCGGAAGAGCGTAGCCTATCTCTATAGCGCTTCAAAGAGCTACTCAGTATGAAATGAAGTACCTGCAAAGGGGTAGGCATGCTCCTCCTCGGAGTCCGCCCCAACAGGCGGGCGAGTGCAGTGGGGGATGCGGAAGAGCGTAGCCTATCTCTATAGCGCTTCAAAGAGCTACTCAGTATGAAATGAAGTACCTGCAAAGGGGTAGGCATGCTCCTCCTCGGAGTCCGCCCCAACAGGCGGGCGAGTGCAGTGGGGGATGCGGAAGAGCGTAGCCTATCTCTATAGCGCTTCAAAGAGCTACTCAGTATGAAATGAAGTACCTGCAAAGGGGTAGGCATGCTCCTCCTCGGAGTCCGCCCCAACAGGCGGGCGAGTGCAGTGGGGGATGCGGAAGAGCGTAGCCTATCTCTATAGCGCTTCAAAGAGCTACTCAGTATGAAATGAAGTACCTGCAAAGGGGTAGGCATGCTCCTCCTCGGAGTCCGCCCCAACAGGCGGGCGAGTGCAGTGGGGGATGCGGAAGAGCGTAGCCTATCTCTATAGCGCTTCAAAGAGCTACTCAGTATGAAATGAAGTACCTGCAAAGGGGTAGGCATGCTCCTCCTCGGAGTCCGCCCCAACAGGCGGGCGAGTGCAGTGGGGGATGCGGAAGAGCGTAGCCTATCTCTATAGCGCTTCAAAGAGCTACTCAGTATGAAATGAAGTACCTGCAAAGGGGTAGGCATGCTCCTCCTCGGAGTCCGCCCCAACAGGCGGGCGAGTGCAGTGGGGGATGCGGAAGAGCGTAGCCTATCTCTATAGCGCTTCAAAGAGCTACTCAGTATGAAATGAAGTACCTGCAAAGGGGTAGGCATGCTCCTCCTCGGAGTCCGCCCCAACAGGCGGGCGAGTGCAGTGGGGGATGCGGAAGAGCGTAGCCTATCTCTATAGCGCTTCAAAGAGCTACTCAGTATGAAATGAAGTACCTGCAAAGGGGTAGGCATGCTCCTCCTCGGAGTCCGCCCCAACAGGCGGGCGAGTGGAGTGGGG